AACCCAAAGCCCTAAGCCCTCAAGCCTACATCCTAAGCCCTCAGCCGAACCCCAGACCCCAAACCCGAAACCCTAAACCCTAAACCCTGAGGTTCTTTTGGATGTCATGAGCAAGACCTCAAGAGAAGACTCAGAAGCTTTTGGGGGCTTTCGCTGTAGGGTCTGAGGCTGCAGGGCTTGGAAGTTAGGCTTTAGGGTTTAGGTTTTAGGTTTTAGGGCTTTGGGTTTAGGGTTTAGGCTTTAGGGCTTAGGCTTTAGTTTTAGGACTTAGGGTTTAGGCTTCAGGGTTTAGGGTTTAGGACTTAGGGTTTAGGGTTTAGGCGGCTTAGAAGCCTCAAAAACCTCCAAAAAACCCTAAACCCACGGCTTAGGGTTTAGGGTTTAGGGCCCTTTAAACTACTCCTTGGGAGTTCCTTGTCAGTTGCCCACACCCCTATAACCCTAAACCCTACACCCCCAAAACCCCAAATTCTAGAAATTCTTTCGGTTCGAGGCTCCTATCTAAGTTGCCCCAATCGGCACCCGAAGTTGGATGGAAAGACCCACGTGGAGAGGATGCGTACATCAATCTGGTTGGCTTTTTATATTAAAGCCTCTGAAAAAATATTGGTAAATAGGGTCCTCTTAAGCCCCCTAAGCCCTCAACCCTAAACCCTCAACTATCCCAAAGGCCTACCGGGCAATGAATGCAAACGCCAAACGCAAAAAGCCAGGACCCGGGCTTGATTGGCGAGGAGATTGCCTGGGTTTAGGGTTTAGGGTTTAGGGTTTGGGGTTTAGGGTTTAGGGTTTAGGGTTTAGCATTTATGGGTTTAGGGTTTTAGGGTTTAGGGTTTAGGGAGTCATGCTCTCATCACCGGATGCCACACAGCAAGCCACATCACTCCCTCTGCAACGGCCTTGGTATCTAAGACCGCGACGCTTTGCCCATCAGGCGGTGGAGGAGGGGGAGCTGCCATGGCTTCTGTCGCGGTGATCCCACTGAGAGGATGGTGCAGGCTCCGGGCCGTGGAAAGCTCTAGGCTGCGTGACTTTGGTCTTATTTCGGCGATGTGCCCCGTAATTAGCCATCATCCCCCTCCCTTATTCTCCAACTGTATGAACCACCAACTCGTTCGATTGAAACTCTGAGCATCAGGTCTTGAGGGAAGCCGGAGAGTGTGCGGGATCTCATCACATCGCACTAGCGCGGTTTAGGGCGTCGGGCTTCGGTGTATTTGGGACGATCTCATCCGGTGCATTCGACACTAGTCCGAACTTGCGGCGCTTTCCCCATTTTTTCAGAAAGGTCAGTGAAACATCCCAGTCGCTTCAAGGCCAGGTCATTAAAATGTATGCCTTGGATCTGGACGTATTCTGTCCAGACGGAGACCTTGGAGCGCGAATTCTTCGCACAGGGAGAGCACTGCGAGCAAGGGACAGCTTGGGACAAGGCTAGAAGTGGATGCCCTGTACCTGGACGAACTCATCTTTATCGGTACGCCTTGGAGCGAATTTCTTAGCGCAGGAGCACTGAGAGCGAAGGACAGCTTAGGAGCCCGCGGCGAGGACACCGGAGTGACCGGAATCAAGTCCGGCATTGACGGATGAGTCGCGGAGACGTCGTCATAGAATGGGGCTGCCTTCTCGGGCATGGGGCAGTTGCTGACCTGCCTTCTCACCTTCAGATTCCGATAGTGCCATCTCGCCAACGTCCTTTGCACCTCGTGCTGCAAGGCCGTGGAGTTTCAGTAAGGCCCCTAAACCCCAAACATCCCCAAACGAGCTGAAGAGGAAATCTTTTCACCGCATCCAATATCTGAGAAAACCGAGGTGTTATAAACCTTACCTGGACCCGAAAGAACCCTCCTTTTTAGGGCTCCTGATGATGATTTCCTTATAATAAGTCCTCAAAAAGCTAGGTTCCTTAAACCGAGGTGCGTAGGGTGCCACTTTTGTTCGCTCCTTTGGAGGTGCCGGGATGTGCTCGGCCCGGCGGATCATCTTCAGGCACCTGTGTACCGTAACATACCTCAAACTCCCTATTGACCAAGACTACGAACCCTAAACCCTAAAGCCTAAAGCCTAAAGCCTAAACCCGAAAGCCTAAAGCCTAAACCCTAAAGCCTAAACTCCTAAACCCTAAACCCTAAACCCTAAACATCCTAAACCCATGTACCCCCCCAAGCCCCAATCTGCTGGTTTAAGGCCCGCACCCAGACCCCCGGTTGGATCCAAAAAGTAGATCTCTTAAGGGAGTTCCTCTTAAAGTACCCTTTAGTAGTTAGGGTCCCAAATTAGGGGATCTACTTTCTGGATCCCCTAAACCCTAAACCCTAAAACCCTAAACCCTAAAACCCTAAACCCTGAACCCTAAACCCTAAACCAGGGTCCCAAATTAGGGGATC